CACACACACACACACTCTGGACATTAAGTGACATTAAGCCTACTGTATGTTCCTAATCCATTACTCATTAGTGTAAAGCATGTGTTGGCACAGATTGTGTTAGGTTGTGTTTTTGTTTGAAGTCACCGCAAGATTAGTGTCATGTTGTCTTAATTGTAGCAGCTTCCACCATCTCATTGCCTTTAAGTGACTTCCTCTCAGTCTCCATCTGGCCTCGGTTTAAAGTAAAAACTCCTCCCTTCTCTGGATCCTAAACCTACAATCATTTAATTATTCTTTCAGATCTTCTGTGTTTTTTCTGCATCATTCATTCTAACCAAATTGAGAGCAAGGAATGCATTTTTTAGTGATGGGCAGCACTCTGGAGAGTACCAAATGGTGTCACACTAAACTTGCAAATCACATTACACAAGAAATGCGTTTTGATCTGCTTTAAACCCGCATCAATGCAGCACCGCAGGCAGGCTAGATAGGCGAAGGATTCCCAGAGAGGATTCACTGCAGTGTTTCTGAATATGAAACGAATCTTAATGTGTGTCAACTGCAGGGCAGCGTTCTGTGAAAGTTTTATGGCTTTACTAGAAAACAGACTGTAGGTGTAGGAGCAAACTGTTAAGAGATACATGTAGCAGGACACAGCAGTTTGGTTTCAAGTGTTGCTTGTCGCATCAGTACATCACAATCGCGTCATTTGCAAGAGACCTTAACATAACAAAACAAAACATTTGCCAAGGACACTGCGTGCCTACACAGGCTTTTGCACTCGTTTTACATTGTGTACCAGGCTGGATTTGACAGAACATTGCTGCACTCTTTAAGAGCACAAATACAAGAGAGTTACTTTTTGGTGAAATTAGTTTGTGAAGGTGTGTCCAGACTGAGTTTTCATTAACTGGAGTCATGCGGCTTCAGGATAAGCACAACTTTATTGCTCAAGCTGAAAAATGTTCAACTCACATGGCCTCGATTTGTGCAGTCTCGGGCAAATTTGTGGCCACTCACGACTTGGCATTAACTTTAATCATGCTACCTATCAAATGAGCTTCGCAGTCTGTCTGTGTCTGCTTTTGGGTTCTCTCTCTCTCTAGTTGTGTCTGTTCAAGGCAACCTCATTTTGAACTGGCTTTGAATTCGGTCATTTAAAAAAAACTATAATTTTTCTTTTAAAATGTTTTAACAAAATGTTCCGTTAAGGACGGACTTATTTATTAGAAAGTTGCTCCAAGCTTCACAGCTCGTCCTCTGCGCCTCCATCCTCGACACTGTTTGTATCGTCTGCATTTGTTACACGTTCATCCGAAACATCTGAGGCAGCAGACAAGCTGGAAGACGAACTGGAGGATGAACTGGAAGATGAACTGGAGGACAAACTGGAAGACGAACTCGAGGACGAGGTCTCAGATGATGATGATACAGATGTGGAAACTACTTCTTCATACAGCTGGACAAAATCCTGTATGCTGCTCAGTGCGGAATCGTAGGTGTCAGAGCTCGACCCATCCTCGGGCGAAGAATTTCTCGAGAGCACGTCTTCAAAAACACTGTCCATAAAGGTGTTCCAGAGAGACAGCTCTGAATCTACGCTGTCCAGGTGGTACTGGATGAGAGACAGCACTGATTCGTCACTGTCAGAGTCATAGCCCGGGCCAGCCTCGCTCAACATGTACTGTTAAAAACCAATTTTAAGACACAATGTTGCCTCTGGTAAGTTTAGAATTTGTCATTACTGACACAGTAATAGTTATGCACTTAATCGATAATGGAATAATTGCCCTACCTCTGTGTCTATCAGTCCGTTGTTGTAATAGATGTCTTGAAAGTACTTCAGGTTGTTGTGCAGTTGGACGAGCTCCAGGTAATTGGGCTCCTCGTCGTCGTCTTTTTCGCCATCACTCACGTTCTTTTCAGCCTCACTGTCACTCTCATCTGACTGGAAGGCTGAGTGTAAATCTTCCACAGACATTTTGGTGTGCAATGGCTGTACATGTGTTAAAATGGAGTCCGATGCTGTGTATAAGAATTGATCAGGATCAGTGTTGTCATAATAAATTCAATCTGTGCTTATTGTTCTGGGCAACGAGTCAGTGCGTTGATTTGAAAAGGCTTGTTGGGTTCTGAACTGGGTTGCATCAGCTGTATGTAAGTTCTCTCCTCAGTTATGCTGTAAAGTTGAAACTAGAGGCTTATTAACAAACTAGTTAGTTTGTAACTAAATCAGCTACTAAAATTGGTTGCAACACAATTACTTGGGCGTCATTTATTTTGGAAGTCATAAATAAGCCAAGAGTTCCATCGTCGTGGTAACTGTGCATTAGCTTTCTGACTGGCATGAGCCACTTGGCTTTGTAGCACATCGTTGTAAGGAATTTTTTTTTATTGATTTGCTTGCTTGATTTTACAAAATATATCAATAAACTAGAGCTCTACTTGTTTAATGTGTTGTAAAATGGCTGCAATTAATTAAACCTTAGGGGCATTTGTAAGTATTTAGTTGTTACTGAGAGTTAAGTTGTAATGTATGTCTGGTGCAACCGCTTTTGTTTTAATGCACAAATCCCAACTTAGTAATAATGTACGTTATAACGAGGCTAAGTGGGTGCTGCAGGACTGCTGTTGTATGTTCTGCAGGGTTGGTTTGTGGATCAGAATTGTGTTTTTTAATAAGTTCTGACATGGACGTAAACACAACCTTCAATCTTCAGATTTTGTACAAAGATGCACCTTTTTATCTTGGAATCAAGAGCAATCCCAGAATCTGCAATGATGATCTTCTCCTCCATGCACCTTTTCTCCGGAGCTACAAACAAAACCTTCTGGCCCAACTTTTGTCACTACCCTGTAGGGGATGCTTTTTAAGCCTAGTTTTCATAAAGTTAGACAGTTTCAAATATGGCGGAAGTCTTCCCTCAATTGCAACCTCAGAGAAAATGAATAAGAGTAAACTTGTTTCCATGCCACACAACAGCAAGGGGTTTCCCGTTGGCATTCTGCACATTAAAAAGTACAGATTCTACTGTAAGTTAGAAAAACTAAAACAATTGTCTTATCCATCTCTTGTTTGGTCTGTTCTGCTTCCTGTTTGTCATGTTTGCAGTAAATCTACTTTATTTTTAATACAGCACACTCGTGGTTGCTAACTACATGTTTTTATAGCTGTAAGCAAACAGCTTGGATGTGCATAGTAGTAGAAACTCATTTGTATTTAATGAGTTTAAAAATGATTAACGTGACTATGAAAATCCTTCATTAAATGTAGCACACAAGAGTCTGTTTCATATATAGGGGATTGCTAATATCTTCTTAAGCCTGACTGATACTGGATTGTGGAGGCTTATGTGTAACTTTGATAAAATATTAAAGTTAATTGTTTCTATGTAAAATACCCTCAGTACATACAGCTCTTTACTGCGTTTTTATGTTTAATATAGCATCTACTGAGTGCTATTATACGATGTATTATTGTACAACACCATGGGGGCATACTGTTGTTGTGGACACAGGCTCTCTTCGTGGATCTTCCTTTTTATGGTGCTGTTGCAGAGCAGTGAGTACCTCAGGAACGTCTGTAATGGAGTGCTGGGCTTTCCCCTCAGCCGGCGTGTTGGCCTTGGCCTGCTTCCAGGTCTGTTGGGCCCATGAGGGGCCACAGCCGGCGATGCTGTCTTTGATCTCACTCCAGATCTGTCCTTAGTTTTTTTGGAATACGTTAGATAGGGGCCTGCCAGATGAGCTTCATGGGAATCTCAATTAGGCCCCTAGGAGACGGGCGAAAGTGAGAAGTTTGTTTTTCAAATATAAGTTGAGGCATTAAAGGTAATTGAGTCAAGTGTATGAGTCGTATGGATGGTGGAAATCCATCTTAAGCAGAGATGCCCTCATCAGAGCTGTGTGTGTTTCTGTCTCTGGTATACTATAAGCTTGTTTACTATGTGACTCTGTCTCCTGTCTCAAGTTTGGCACCATGACATTTGCTGTGAGCTATTTTTACCGCACGCACTTGGCTCCACAGATTGACACTCTAACAAACAAACACTTTATACAGTGTTTTATGTGGCCTGCCCCACCCAGTATGTGAACTTCATATAGGCAACCACCACAAATAATCAGCCCACACAGACACACACATCAACACTTCGAGTAACACCACTTCTTCAGATCTAAACTGGGGACGGCCTGAGGCTAATAAAAGCCTGAGCTCTCCAGTCTGGGGTTGTGTCTTATTGTTGTTTGTGTTTATGACGTGTAAGGCTCCATTCAGATATCTTAGGGCACGTGACACACATACACTGTATGTGGTGATGAACATGATTTCCTTATGTCAGCTTTTTAAAGTACACTTTATTTTTTTATTTTTCGATGAAAACAGCTAAATGTTTTGTAAGTCATGTGACTTATTTGAAGCAATGAACATCTCATTTCTCAGTGTAATAAATCAACTTGTTTAGGTTTTCAGGTTTTTTTGGAGTTCTCCTTCAAAACAAAAAAACTGAAATGCGTTTGTAGCTGATTTGGATTAAATCCAGTAATTTGTGGCTTCCTTTCCTACAACACTTCACAGCTTTTGGACCGTGAAAAGAACTGTTGGACATGTTTTCCTTTCAGTAGTTACTTTGGAAACAAGAAAATTACAGACAGCAGCAACTTGAAAACAAGCCCTTACACACACACAAACCGTGTGCAGTGACTGTTGGCATTGGTTTGTTGACAGACATAGTTCAAGTGGACGCTGGCTACTACCTGCATTTCTGTGTCTGATAAGAATTTACAGCATAACTTTGATTCCTAGAAGCTCTGATCTGGAGAGACCATCTGGTTCATGTTTTAACCCAAAGCTTTAAGTTACATTTCATGTGATGATATGAGAACCCCAGTTTTGTTAAAAAGATACTACTTACAGTTACAACACAGAGGCTTTGTCCATGTTTGATTACGGATTCTAACCTCTATCAGAGTTTGTCACTCTTATGGTAGGTTTAGTCATTTGTGTATTGTGATGCCATAATACAGAACAGCCTTTCCCATGAGTCCAAACACCTAGAAAGAACCTCTAGTTTGTTGGGAGACAGCACCTTTGCAGTGGGGAAGAGATTTGTGTGTAAATTCACATTTTCACACTGAGCTCCATCAGCTGGAATCCACAGGGTCTCTGTGTCGGGGGTTGCACAAAGTGACAAAGGCTGTCACAAACCATGACATCTGTCACGGCAGTCTGACAGTCTGTGCGTGGAGCTGACAGCAAGCCACACATAGAAAATACTAATGCTTTTGGTTCTTCTTTTGCTCTTACATCCTGTCACCTTTGTGGCTCTTCTGCTCCGCTTGTAATTTCAGCCTTCAGTCTTAAAGGATTCCCACAAGTCTTCTCCCCCTGTTGCTCATGCTCGCTGTCAGCTGTGAGCGGCGTGGGTGGTACTTTTTTGTAAAAATAAAGGTTGTTTTATAAAGTTATTTAATATTTGCATCCATGTTGTAGTTCTACTTAGTGTATAGTAAATTTACACACTAATATTGAACATATGCAGCCCACTTTTAGTCTGAACAAAATGAAACGTCACTTTTTTGCACTCCTCAATAACAAATTCTCTGGACCTCAGCCTGTCTTCCTCCACCTCTTTTCACCCTTTGGTCTTTTTTTCTCTCTACCAATTTAGCTATTTTAAAAGTCTCCCGTTTCTCTCTCCTATGCAAGCCTTTTATCTAGTGTTATTTTGCTAGTTCAACAGAACAGAAGTGTGTTATTATCCCTCTCTAATGTGTCTGGTGCCCTTTGCGGTGATCTGTTACAGTGGACTGGAACAGTACAAGTGGGTAATGAGGCTGTAACCCTCGGGGCTGCTGTGTGCGGGTTGAACCCAAACAGTCACGTCTTGACTCATAACTTTGCCAAAGGGCCGCCCACACGCTCACAGTACCTACACGTCTCTCAAACGCGCCCTCGCATTAACGTGCGCTGTGCTCATTCTGTCATGGGCTCTATCGCTGCTTGCAGTAGAGCGTACGACGTGTATGTTGGTGCACATGTTTTTGCATGTCAGTATCTAACAACTGTAGTTCCCATTGATGACTGTGTTTACCATGATGAAAGGAACATTATACCTTTTTTTATTCATCGCCCTAACCCATCTGTCACAGTGCTGTTTTTAAAGCACTTTGATCTACATTTTTGAATGAATACTGATAAATAGTCATAAATGGCAGGGATTCCCCTCAGGGCCCTGATGTCCTGCTTTAAGAGCCAACGATGACAAAATGAATGTCATGCTTAAGTGTCTTTCTGAAAACGTTACAGGCACACTTGTGTAGTATTTAAGAAACATCTTTTTCTTTCCTTGTAAGTGCAGCTTGTCAAGTCACTCTACAGCCCTTTAATCAGTTCTCATACTGCCTATTTGTCTTGTCTTTTTACACAAACTGAATATTGCGACATTTGCACTTTTCACTATCCTCCTCCTTTGTGTGATGAAATCTTTGATTACATGTTTCACTTCCCTCATATTTGCATACATACGTATTGTCTTTGCTGATTGCTCAGCTAACGTGGCCTAATGACGATCATTTTACTTTCTTTTTTATTATCATGCTATTGTAATGCACGTTATGCTGTTCAAACGCCATAAGTCAGTTTATGTCAAGTCATTGTCTGGTTTCACCTCATTTTCCTTTGTTGGTGGTTCTAAATGTCTCTTTCTTCTCGCCCTGTTTTCCAGGATGCCAGCTATTGGCTGCAGGTCCACCGGTTGGAGCACGGTGACGGCGGCATCCTCGACCTGGATGACGTACTCTGCGACGTGGCTGATGACAAAGACAGGGTGAGTGGCTAGATATGAACGATGGTGAAGACACTGACTGAGGCTTCATTGGTTCACATCCTTTTCAGCGTGGCTCCGTGTTAATGTGGATGGTGTTGGGTTCTTGAACGGTGGCTCTTAGGAACGAGGGTGTGGCGTTTTGCTAAAGTATATGCATACATGACTTTTCACACTGCCTGTTCTTAGCACAGGGCTAAGAGTTGACCCTGGAATAACCCTTTTCACACACACACTTTTAACCCAGTCTTAACCTAAACCCAGGGCTACACGATTCACACAACACCTCTACTAGTCCTGGGTTAAATGCCCATTAGAACACGAACTAATGCCCTGCATTTGATAGTCATTTATCAGTTCCATCGTGTAAAAACAGTAGGGTTTGTATTCAGGTTTCCTGGTGCTATCTTAGGCAGAGGAAGTACTTCCTGACCAATCCGATAAGAGAATGTATTGTGTACCAGAGCAGCCCAAATCAGTTTCTCAGCTTTAATTAATAGCACAGTTTACCGTGTCTTTGATCTCCGAATGCCTTTTTTATCTTTACATTAGCCTTGAATCTCTTCTCTGTAACGCAAAACAAAAAAATGGGTCTAGGTCGCTGTGCTTCGCTTCAGAGATGCTGAACACTGACTTTGACACTCTTGGGGCTTGATGCATTAAACTCAGTCATAAAATCTACTCATACAAAGAAATGTGCATACACATTCTTTTCATCCGATTTATAAAGCTGCACGTAGGACAGTTTTATGAAACTGAATCACTGTGGAACTGAGCACACTCTCACAGTTAGCCATTGGCATATCAATTCAGCATCAGTGTATGGACAGGAAACATGTGACTCAAATCTAGATAAAAATACTAATAAAATGCATCTCTCATAGATATCTATAATTAAGTTGAAGGCTTTGATTGCCATTTTACAGATTGCTGTGTGAATTGCAAAAATAAGTCTGTCAATGAAATTGGAAAAACTACCTAAACAATCAATGTTTTACAATAAGGTTACGTCTCTCACCTTATATTTCATATCCACCTTACACATCTGGACCCTGGAATGTTACATTTCTGTACATTTTGTCCAAACACTGCAGATTAGATCAAATATAACTGTCAATATTAGAAGTGGAGAACTGGAATTTGGTCTCTGATTTGGTTTTGTAAATGACTTGTTTTTTTGTTTTTTTTACACTGCATGTGAAGTTAGTCAGAAGTTAGTTACACTGGTCTGACTTCAGGCCTTGAACTTGTCAGCGTCAGATCCCTGACAATCCTCGACCTGGTTCATCCATCGCCTCTGGTACAATCTGAGGGAGAGAGAGAAGCTCATCCTGACTGACAGCCAGGAGGTCACAGGCTGACATTCTCTTCTGTGGTTCGATATTTCAGTAGATTCCCATAAAAGACTGAAAGGTGTCAAAGTACGTGTAATTCTGCATCAAGAGATCATTATTCGCTTAACATGAGGAAATTACATTAAACAAAAAAAAGAGAGGTTTGCTGAGAGGCCTGCATGCATAACTTAAGGTGACTGGTTGGATTTGAATAAACGTTTGTGTCACAGAACTGTTTAGTTCTGCAGAGCCTTTCTTTATTGCAAATGCAGCGTAAACACCAAATGTGTCTGTGATGTGGTTCAATCTTAAATGTGCATAATTGCTGATATTCTTAGTCTTGATGATAGTTTGTAAACCAAACGATCCTTCAAAATAAGATGCGTCAGCCCTAATGTTAGCAGTAAAAGACAGGAATAGTAACTTTTCATCATCATGCTCATTTTCTTATGTAAATCAAAACAGAAAACAAATATTATGGAAGCAGACACATCCTGTTGGGACTGGTTCTTCGTGAAACAGTAGCACTAACATGCCATTCCAGTCCTCTCAACCACACACTCATTTCTTTACAGTAATTATACAGTACCAGTACACAGTTAATTTGACACTGTATGCCTGATGACAGAAAGTCTCATCAGACAATAATTCTCTGAGTTGGTCCATTGAAAGTAGAATTCAGAAATCCTGCGACACATTATCAGATTTGAGGGGCATAAAGTTTGTTTTCTCACAGGCAACTAGAGTTTGTGAAATTGTTTAGTCAGGTTTTTGGCAAAAATTTCAAGCCCCCAATGTGAAATATAACTTAATCAAAACTTAAATTTAAGTAAGAATTTCTACTTGAAGCGTGTAAAAATGTGACCTCTGCACTGTGAGATACGGTGTTGAACTTAAAGGGATTTTACGCTGTTGGTGGTAAGCACTCACTCTTGCAAGTATGTCAACCTCATGTTTATAGACCTCCAGGTGTGTGTCTGCATGCGTGTAAACCGATGTGTGTAGTTGTCACCCTCATGATGAGCTGTCATCAGTCCTCTTTCGCCCCTACAGGCATTTTCCATAGCAGAGAATGTGTACATATCATACATGACAAGTCTTCAGCCTCACCGATACAAATCTACACCGCTGTCACTGGTCTGACACCGAACCCTGTGGGGGACTGTTTGAACATACATATTTAAAAAAAAACACACAAATGGATTAAAAAATGTAATTCTGAATTGCAGTAAGTGAAAGGTTAAAAGTTCAATCAATCTTGAGTAACATTCAGCGTTTCCATCAGCAGCCAGATGTGCGTAGCAGGGCTGTAATAAAACAGAAATCAAATGAAAATGATCATTATTGATTAATCAGTCAATTATTTGTTCTTTTTTTAGTTTTAAAAATGGTGAAAAAAGCCCAGAGCATATTCCCAGAGCTAAAGATGGTGGTTTTAAATAGCTTCTTTTGCCCACCAACACTCAAGAACTGTCCCACACCCAAAAAATGTTTTGCTTGCTAGATGTTCAGACATGATTTAAGACATAAAATACTCTTTGAATAATTACATGACTGATATATTATTGTGCAAAAAACGTTCAATTACAGAATTAAAAGTCCTTTATATGCAAATACTGTTCCTTTCAGTTAACTAATGGACCCAAGATGTATGCTACTCCACTGAAAAGTTGGTTCACAGTGTTGGGACGCTTCCATATCACACTTGTGTAAGTTTCCTATTAGACCACATGTCCCCAGATGTCACAAAATCCTGCTTAAATGCACTTGTCTTAAACTTCTAGTTTATTGTTCTAGGCTTCTAGCTTCAAATTATGCACATTGAAGTAGTCAGGTGACATACTGTAGAAGCCATACAAAAACTTTACCTGAATAAAACACAGCCTAGAATTAGAGTTAGATCAGTGAAGATACCCCACACACTCTCTCTCTACTTGTTTCATATTAATTCAGTAAGGTGTTTTGGTCTTATTGACCTTCATCCAATCAGAGAACCACAATAATTGGGTCAATTTGTGGATGAAACCACTTGAGGAAATACAAATAGACAGTCGGTAAAGGAATATCTAATCAAAGAATAAAACCTTCTTGATCAGACTTCCTCCTGCCCTCAGGAGTGCCGTCCTCTGCCCGCTGAAGCTGCACGGGACGGAATCATTAACGGCGAGATGGTTGGAGGCAGCAAGATGTTGGCCCCGCTTTGCTCTTTGTTCGGTGATTAAAATCTCATCTTCGCCTGATTATCTTGGCACATTGTGGACTTATTGTGGAATTGATACGCACTCTGAGGCAGAATCTGTGGTAATGAGCCGAGCTGGATTTGGGTTATGCCTGCCATATAGCCAGCAGCTATTCAGGTAATGTACAGCCTTCTGGTGCTCTGCCAATCGCAGCCCAAAAGGAATGCGACACAGCCGGTGTGTGTTGGTCAGAAAAAAAAAGTATTTCTCTGGTGGGCTGTGTATGTATTCTTCTAAGGCTGGATCTCAGAGTCTTGGCACTACACGCCCCGGCACACTGAGCTGATCCCGACTGAGTGGCGTCAAAAGCAGATTTATCACAGGCTTTGTCGCCTTACTATCATGTTCTTCTAGCACGGTAAAAAGTTGCAGTCAGCACAGTAGAGTTTCGTTTTATACTTGCGAAATCACTTGATTCACTGCTGATCCAAAAGGCTTCATTGGCTGAATGGCCACTGATAAGGTCCAACTAAAGCCAACAGTGCTGGACACACTGCAAAAGCTGTCACTGACTGAAGTCCAGAGAGACATGCTATAGTGAAAGAGGGTCACTGGTGCGGCCTCGATCAACTGGTGAAGCCGACTGATGGGCAGCAAACTGACTCCTTTTTAAATCCCACTGTGTGAGTCAGGACTGAGTGTTTGCAGTCTGGTAGAGCCAGAACAGCACACAGTGGAAAGTGGGGCTCTGAGCCACAGTTCTTAGTCTCAGCTGGCCCTCATCCCTGCTCTGTCTCTCTCTGTGTGTGTGTGTGTGTGTGTGTGAGAGAGAGAGAGAATCCCAGTGTCACTTCATGGTGTGTTTCCACTGAGAGCAGCTGTGTGGCTGTCTCGGAGTGTGTGCCGTGTGGACAGGCTTGGAGCACAAGTGTGCGCAGATGAATCCAGCTTCTGTGCAGTAGTGGTGGTGTTGTGTGACCTCTGACCCCAGGGAGATACCTAATGATGACAGTCGGTGTTGTTCGTGATGTTAAGCGCAGCTGCTGTTGTGGGGAAATTAAATGAAGCCGGGCTTTTCTTTTATTGTGTCCAGCAATATCAATATGTGATGTTGTTAAAACACCGCTGGTTAGTGTGGGGGTGGGTTTTTGTGTGTGTGTGTGTGTGTGTGTGTGTGTGTGCACTGCAGAAGGAAGACAAAGGCTGCAGACAAAGCATGACACAGAGGGACAAAATGACACAACCTCTGTATTTGACAGCTGTTTGACCTCCATCTTGTTGATCTGTGTGTGTGTGTGTGTGTGTGTGTGTTTCACATATACAGCGACATACACTCCGACTCTCACTCCAGTTTTTAATTATGAATAAGTAATTCTGATAATGTAGACTCGACACAACTTGTGCAGTGTCTTTATAAACCAATTTAAAAGTGGCTTTGGCAGCCCTGAAATACATTTAATTTGTCTACAAATATCAGAAATCATCCTGC